CTTAACGTCCGGGCTAGGTCTCCAATTTTTTGTTTTATGTTCAATATATATTGACAATTAATCTTATTTTTAAATTTAAATAGCTTTTTTATGTGGAATCCAATTTCAACATCCATAGGAATTGGGTTGATGTGTTATGTTTCACCTCATCTTTTAACCCATAATGATAATGATGTCTTATGTTTCACCTCATCCTTTAACCCATAATGAACACTTAAAAATGGCTTATTATACTTCACTACAAAAAAAGAATATACACATGTATATACGACTGTCGGAAAATAATATAAAGGATCTTAGCTATACGATAATTCAATACAACTAAAGAATATACACATATAATGTATGTATACGGAAATAAAATTCACCAAGAGTAGATTGTTGTGGTGGTGTCACGACCCAGATTTTCCACTCTTGGGAGTCGTGATGATGCCTACTCGTGGAAGCTAGGCAAGCCGAATATTATAAAATCATTACCCTTTTTGTTAACATGTTCAACAATTTAAAATAATGAGTGATTAAACAGCAGAATAAATTAAATAATAGGAATTGCGGAAGTCGAAACTTAATAATTCAACCAAACACTGCAACATAATCTGAAGTACAATACTACCCAGAATTTGGTGTCACAAGTCACGGACTATCTAAGAATACTACAAATAAGGTCTGAATGGAAATACATAAGTCTGTCTGTGAATAAGTAAAAACAGAAAGAGAAAAGATAGGAGGAGACGCCAAGGCCCGCGGACGTCTGCAGGCCTATCTCGGGTCGCCTGAATGGACTGAAGACAGCACCCTCACTGCGGTCCAAACACTCCGGTATCAGTATCTGCACACAGTGCTGAGTGTAGTATCAGCACAACCGACCCCATGTGCTGGTAAGTGCCTCGCCTAACCTAGGCAAAGTAGTGACGAGGCTAGGACAAGACTACCAAATAAACTTGTGCAGTTAAATCATATACAGCGGAAATAGAAGCAGATAATTACAACTAAAGTTGGGAGGGGGAAATATGCTGCGGGGAATAAGAGATAACCACATAATAACAGTAGAGAAATGTAAGGATCACCATAAATCAATTACCAGCAAAAGATAAGGAAATAAGAAGAACAAGTACAGATGTAATATCGTTGCAGGCATGCAAGCCGATCCCATTTCATATAGTACCGTTGCAGGCGTGCAAGCCGATCCCATTTCATATAGTACCATTGCAGGCGTGCAACCCGCTCCCATTTCATATTGTACTGTTGTAGGCGTGCAACCTGTTCTCATTTCATATATTATCGTTGCAGGCGTGCAACCCGCTCCCATTTTATGTATTACCGTTGCAGGCGTGCAACCCGCTCCCATTTTATGTATTACCGTTGCAGGCGTGCAACCCGCTCCTATTTCATTTATCAACACCAATCATAAAAGAATCCTGGCAAGGGAACAATAGCATAATAACAACATCCCGGTAAGAGAACAATAATATTATAACAACATCCTGGCAAGGGAACTATAATATAACAACAATATCCCAGCAAGGGAACAACAATATCACAACAACATTCCGACAAGGGAACAATAATAAAATTCTCATATTAAGCACGAATAACCCACAACGGAGTCATAACAATTACAATACAAGACTCACGGGCATGCTTGACACCGACGTATTATCATGACCCGAATTTCCCACCCTCGCGAGTCGTGATGGCGCCTACTCTTGAAAGCTAGGCAAGCCGCGTATTGTAAAATCACTAACTCTTTTATTTACCCCCTTTTAACAATTTAAAAAGAACGTGCGATCAACAGTGAAATATTAATGATAAGTAAATACATGCGGAAGGCTTAATATGATAACCAAAATCAGTACGACAATGCCAACATACACCTCTACCCGAATCCGGTGTCACAATATCATGGACTGTCTACGAATACTACATACAAATGTCTGAAAAGAAAGTACAGTCTGTCTCGAAAACAAATGAAAACAGAATACATATAAAGATAGAAAAGAACGTCGGGCCTACGGACGCCTGTAGGACTACATCGGGATCTCTAGTTGGACTGAAGGCAGCCACCCAATGCTATGGTCCAAAAGCTTCCTCTCCGGGATCTGCACATAGTGCAGAGTGTAGTATCAGCACAACCAACCCAATGTGCTGGTAAGTGTCTGGCCTAACCCCGGCGAAGTAGTGACGAGGCTAGGACCCGACTATTAAATAAACTTGTGCAGTTATATAATATGCAGCGAAAAATAAAACAGAAATAAGCAAGTGAAGATGGGAGGGGGTACATGCTACGGGGGAATATCAATACCAACAGTAAATTAAGATAAAGGCATAAAGACAATTTAGAAATTATAGCAAAACAATAAGGAACTCGTAACCGATCTATTAACACTTTGTATTACCAATTCTTGCGGCGCGCAACCTGATCCCAAACATAATAACACTGTTGCAGCGTGCTGATCGCGGCCTACTCCACACTACTAATTAAGTAGCGAGAGAGGGTTGGAGCAGCTTTTACCCGATTTAGGGTCGGGATCGATTTCCACAGAGAGCTAGAATTTGGAATAGAGTATCTATCTAGTTTAGGATTGCGTATGTGTTCCAAATTACACTTCTAATCATTTTTGGGGGTTTTGATTAACTTCTACTTTTGTAAAACTACAATTGTAAATGAAACTAGATTAAGCTAAGAGTTAAACTAAACAGGGTTGTTCAAATGGTTTAAAAGGCACTAGGGTAGTGACTCTCACCTAGGTGGTTAATTGATGGGTAATTGAATTTAAAACAAGATTGACGTAATTGGGGAGTATGATATAACCGTTGCACGATATTACCCACTCTACATCTCTCGGTGGTTCGAGTGATTTTGCCCAAATTGACTTTATCAAGACCAATTGGGTATGCAAATTTGCACAAGCAACTAGTGTTCAAGTCGGGTATTACTCTCTCGAGGTTTAACCCTTTAATTGTGGCTATCAATCTCTTGAGTACGCCCCAATTCCTTGTTGGACCAATTTCGGAGACTTAGACTCTCTTTCTCAAGAAAAGCCCAAGTCAACTAAACACAAAATAGTGTTTGCAACCACTAATTTAGCAATTAACCATGAAATTAGTCCAAATATCAAACACCCATATTCAATCTAGCCCTAAAATACAACACCCATCAATTACCCACACTAGGGTTGAGCCACAACCCTAGCTTATGGGTCTAGCTACTCATAATTAATGAAGAAAAGCAAGAAATAGATGAAGAACAACTCATATTAATTAATCACTAAGGTAAATAACAAGATTTAATGATGAAAAGTAGTTAAAATTGCCCAAAATAACTAAGAAACTCGAACCCACGAGTGCAGCTCTAAGATTACGATATCTGATACCCTAAAAATGGAAAAAGAAGCTATTTATACTAAGCTAAAAAATCTGGACAAAATTACCCCTGCGAGGTTAGTGCGGACCGCACAAAATGGAGTGCGACCGCACTAGGGCTCTGAACTTGAAAATACAACTCTCTGAACTCGGGCAATACGGACCGCACAGAATGGACTGCAGCTGCGAAGGCTTCTAGTGCGGTCAGCACAGAATAGACTGCGGACTGCATTAGCTTGGAACTTCACATCTGGCATCTCTCTGAATCTTGGGTCTGCGGACAGTACTAAATCGAGTGCGACCACATTAACTCCAGTGCAGAATGCACAAAACCTAGTGCAGCCGCATTGCCTCTTTGCCTGAATCTCCTAGTGTGGACCGCTTAGAATGGTGTGCGGCCGCACTGGGCTTGTTTTGCCTGAGCTTGTCTTGTCTTTGGCACTTGTGCAAGTTTCACTTCTTTTGAGCTAATCTTTGACATCTTGTCACATTGTTGATCACCTGCAATCAAGCACAACTTATGAGCCTTTTGGGACTATGTTGTACAAATTCCTAATCAAAACATAAGCAGGAAGGAGTATAAAAGGTATCAAAATCCCTAGTAATCAACTCCCCCAAACTTAAGTCTTTGCTTGTCTTCAAGCAAACAAAATAATACCCACCCCTTAGGAGAACATCCAAGAAAATTTTAGTTGTCCTAAAGTGACCTCATCTAGCATCAATTGGGACTAACAATTGCCCTCAATACAAATGAATCATTAACAACTTTTACTATTTTAAACGCCATGGATTAAGTGCGACACAAGAGCATCAAGAATTGACTCAACACATTAAAGGACTCTTTCTATTACTTTGCTCATTGTGGAACCCAAATTCACACATCCTCAACTCTCCCTAAGCAAACATCACCTTTAGAATAGTGGCACTCAAAACGAGGTCAATGGATTCACTCCTCTCTCTCGAGAAAAAGAGTCACAAGTCCGGCTCTAAGTACCATATGCTTGCCCCTTATGTAAGTCACCACTAATGTAAGTTTCATTCAACTCAAGATCATGTAGGGCTTTTATGGAGTCATGGTGAACGCTTTTGGTTCAGGGTAGGAAATTTTTGGTCTAAGTGGGTTCCATCTTCCCTTAAGCACTTCTTTTGCTTCATTTGGCACATATTCACTTGACTCTTTGAGTTATTTTACTTCTTTCTGAGGGGTTAGAGGGACACACTGTCACTCTTTCTTATACATTTCAAACCTTTTCTCTTTTTTTAACTTTCCACGCCTTTCATTCTTTGCTTTTCTTGAATCCCTTTTTATTCTTTTTCACATTGAACATTCTTTTTGTCCATTTGCTTTTTCTTCTTTTTCATTTCCTTTAATTTTTCTTCATTTTTTTGCCTTTTTACCACTTTGTTGCAATCCTCGTCTCTCCCCCCAAACTTATACTTTTTCCATGTGCTACAGGAAAGATCGGGTGCCAAGAGAGGGTATCTTTTAGAACGGGTATAGGCTTGTATCATGGTTCTTGAAGAAAAAAGGTTTAAGGCTCAAAAGGGTTGACTAGGGATCTTATCATTGGTAGGCTATGGAAGTGTTCAAGCTATCATTTGGACCAAGGAGAGCCTATAATCATGTCTCAAGTCAAAATTCACTTAGTATTTCGCCTCAACAAACATTCAGGGCAAGTTCTAGACCAATGGCTTGGGACTTGGACTTGCAATGCGATTACTCACCACAGATAGCTAAAGACATAGAGTCGAGGGCCCACAACGATCTTAGATAGGATTTGGGCACACAATGGTTCCGAAAAACCACTTGATGATTATTGGTCAACACAAGAGTCTCAAGGCAACGACTTTTACCATCCTAAACACAACAAATTATTTTTGACCATAAGATCAAAGGCAAATGTGCTAGGCCCAAGTGAAGCTTTGCTTGAGGCACCCTTAACTACTAACTACTAAAAAAAATGGACTCAAACCCTTAAGAAGGTTGTCACGCCATCCATCATTGGAAAGAGCCACCCAGTTACACAACACTCTACCTTTGGAAAGAACCGTGGCATTAAGAAAATCAAAGACTTATTGCAAAGTTTCAAAACAAGAAGCTATGAATCATAAATAAGAAGCTAAGAACGAAAAATTTGGGGAAAGTAGGATGAATATATACAAGAGGGGATTTGAATATACAATAGATGAGATGAATATGTACAATGTAACATAACTTTATATACAGACCCAAAGTAAAATAAAAGTGCGATAAATGTAACTAAATATTAGAATTATATACAGACCAAAGATGAAAAATCAAGAAAGCATAAAAAATGAATGTAAAATATATACAATCATCTGAATGTAGGGCCTACCCCCTCAAATGAAAGCTGGCATTGTCCCCAATGCCAACTAGACTAAATAAGCACAAAAATTAAAGAGAAAAGGATATAGAAACTCCCTATGACCTGTTTGTCTGCATGGGCTCATGAGTGGTCCCAGGGTCCTCACTATGCTCGGTAACCTCAGATTGGTTCCCGGTGGCCTGCTGTTGTGCTGCTTGGACCTGGGCCTGGACCTGGATAGGCTCTGGAGGTGGTGCACCCTATGGCTGACTGGATGAGGTCTCCTGTGGGCCTGCCAGCTAGATAACTGCGTCGTCAGCTCTGGGAATCATCCTCTTCCTCTTGGGATGCCTCTGTGTCTGCTCTGGCTGGGAATAAGCTGCGAGCACTGGGTCCTGGAGAACTAAGTCTAAAGGCAGCTAATCTGCCTTCAGTCTGTCGACATCAGCTCTCAACTTCTTCACGGACTCGTTGGAGGCCCATATTTTCCTCAGCTTCTTGTGCTCCCTAGCAAGCTCCTTGAGAGCCTTGATATGTGAATCAACTGCCTCAGTAAGCACCTTCTGAGTGTCGAGGATTTTCTTCTGGTTGTCTAAAATCTCTTTGAGAGCATCCTCTATCGACTGGGGAACCTGAGGGGGCGGAGGTGCCGACTGAGCCTCTACTGTGATAGTAAGTGTAGACAACTGGGACGTCGCACTCTACATCCAGTTGTTCATACTAAAAACTATCTGGCTCAGTCGGTGGGCAGTAATCGGATGTGCACGAGAGGATGGAATCTCCGGGTTCGCTGAGGTGGAAGGACCAGGAGGGACAATAGTGGAAGTAGAGGCAGGCTCAACAGGAGTCACTACCACAACTAGCTCTTCAGACTGGCCAGTTGGAGCAGTAATTGTACCCTTGAAATTCTTGCTCTTGGGGTAATCATCCCCCTGCATGTTGTACCAGGAAAAATGGGCCTTCACTTTGACTTTGATGTCGAAGGGCCTCTTCTCCACTTTCAGATCCAGGAAGTACATAGTGAGAAAATTGGGGAATGGGTAGTTTCTGTCATGCTCAGCACCCACAATTGTAATAATTCTTGACATCACATTACCCAAATTTATTGGGTACCCCACGATGATTGAAGCCACCAAAACTGCCCGGTGAAGGGGTAGGGAGTTGTCATGAGTCGTGGTGTCCAACTTGCTACATACAAATGTCTCCCACCCCCTTGCCTCGAAATTCAAGCTACGCCTCAAAATCTTGACTCCAACAGTCAACTAGTCAGGGTGGTACCTGGGATTGCCAGGTATTGTGCTAACCATGGGCGGACCTCCTCGCCCAATTCCATCTTTGCCATGTACAAGGACTCGTCCTCCTCATCAAAACCGAGGTAATCATTAATTGTCTTTCCATCAAATAACGCCTTCAAGTTCCGCACCTTGGTCACCTTGGTACCCTTTTTGATGTGGGCAACATTAGTGTAGAATTCTTTGACCAAGTGCTCATTGGCGTCCACACAGTCCCCCAAAAAGTGTTCCCATCTGACTCTCTCCCTAAACTGTCTCCTCACTTTGGGGTTGTGAGGTAGCAAATCTCTATCTATGAAGCTCCTCTCCGGGATCAACTTCCTCACTGGCCACCATTCCCGAAATTTGTGGTATGCTACTTCACTAACGAACCGGTCCTGCCACACCTCCGGCTTCCTAGTTCTAGCAATACCCCCACCTGTAGTTCACCTCCTTCTCCTACTTCTTCTTCTCCCCTACTTCCTCCTCATCACCTACTGCACCCTCTCAAAATAATGAAGTTGTGGGAGAGGGGAGGGTATTCCCCACTACCTTCACCTGAGCCCTCAGACGACCCAGAAGAAATGTTCACTAATGCTTGGGCAGTGGGGGATGCAGGAGGTGTATCTCTTAGTCTATGCCTCTCCGGCCAGTCAGGAATATGTGTCGGTACTGAATCTGAAGAAATCTCCCGGGAAGGCTCGTACTCACTCCCCGACATGTCAATTGCTCTGTCAGCTGCTCTTATCAACTTTCTAGTATTTTTAATGTTTTGCCTGGCTTGGGGAGTGAGTTTAATCATTATCTACTTCCCTCCCCGGGAGGATTCACCTCTGCCAGGTTGTTTAGATCCTTTGCCTCGTTGTTTTACCATTGTCTGTAAACACAATCCAAATGAACTTGTTAGTATCAGTAGCAACAGTTAAGAAATAGAATTGCAGAACAGAAGGAAAAAAAGTTGCAGACATTTTGCAGAAGTCACCCAGTGCGGACCGCACAAAATGGTGTGCGGCCGCACAGGGGCCAATGCGTACCGCACAAAATGGCCATGCGGTCCGCACAGAGGTGGGGTTTAGACTACCCACACTCTGTATCTATGCAGTGTAGACCGCACAAAATGTAGTGTGGTCGCACAGGGGGCAATGCGGTCCGCACAAAATGTAGTGCGGTCGCATTCCCTGAGACTCAGCTTTCAGACCAATGTTCAATGCGTTCCGCACAAAATGGTACTGCGGACCGCACAAGGGCACCGTGGACTGCACAGAATTGACTGTGGCCCGCACTGAGTGCCCAGTTGTGGCACTAAGTTAGGGTTTACGAGATTTTGAATTTTAGTCCAATTTTTGCATCTAAGTCCATCCCTAAGTGATTGCCCATTGTGTTTAACTACATGGGCCTACTCTAATCAAGAAATTAACAATCCTAATCTAATCAAGTGAAGAAAATACAGGAAACATAGAAAGGGAGGTAATAAAAACAAAAACTAAAAGAAATTAATAAAAGAAAACAATTAAAAGGCAAGTAATGGTACCAGATGTAAGATGAAATGAAGAATAACGAGTCCAAACAATTAGTTACAAGCAAGGGAAGTGATGAACAGTGTCTTAAAGCTTCTGAGATTCAAAGGTTCGAAAAGGGTACAAGGAGGGCCTCAGGCCCTATTTATAGAAAAGACCTGGGGCCCAGTCTCACCAACCAGTGCGGACCGCACAAAATGGACCGCAGTCCGCACTGCACAACTATTTTCAAGCTTGAGGAGGCAACACACTACTGTCCGCACAAAATGGACTGCGGCCGCAGTGGTCCACCGCGGACCGCGCAAAATGTAGTACGGCCGCAGTGGCAAACTTGAGAGAGGTCTACATTTCACTCAGAGAGAGGTCTAGTGCGGCCACATTAACAACATCAGAGACCTGGCACTTTTTCCACTAAGTCTGCACTGTATCAACACAACCCTATAACATCTCACAACCAGTTAGCCCAAAAATCAATCCTATACTACAAATAAAATCAAAGAAAACAAGAAGAAAAACACATGGGTTGCCTCCCAAGAAGCGCCTGATTTAACTTCGTGACACGACACAAGTTACCATCACATCAGTTGAAATGAAGAAGCGCCACCACGTGGCTGTCATCAATTTTTCCCAAGTAATTCTTGACCCGGTACCCATTAACTCTGAAGACTTCACCATTTTTGTTCTTTAAATCAAGAGCACCAAACAGGGTCACACATACCACTTCAAACGGTTCACTCCATTTGGACTTGAGCTTGGAGTTGAACAAGAGAACCAAATCACCTACTTTGAACTCCTTTCCACGACCACATTTATCATGAAGGTACTTCATCTTGTCCTTATACAAGGACGAACTGGAGTAGGCATAGAATCTGAATTCATCAAGTTTATTGAGCTGCTCCACACAAAGATTGGCTGCAACATCCACTCAAGATTTAGCTTCCTCAAAGCCCACATGGCCTTGTGCTCTAACTCAGTCGGTGGATGGCAAGCTTTCTCAAATACCAACCGGTATAGGGACATACCAATCGGAGTCTTGTAAGCAGTCCTATAAGCCCAAAGAGCGTCATCCAACTTCTTCGACCAATCAGTCCTATTTGCATTGACCGTCTTTGACAATATGCTTTTGATTTCCCTGTTGGAGACTTCAACTTGACCACTTGCTTGAGGATGATAGGGGGTAGAAACTTTGTGATTGACACCATACTTTGAAAGCAGCGTGTCAAAAGCTCTATTGCAAAAATGAGACCCCTATCACTTATAATTGCACGAGGAGTACCAAACCTTGTAAAAATGCTTTTCTTAAGAAATGCAACAACACTCCGGGCCTCATTATTGGGCAAAGCCACGGCTTCAACCCACTTTGAAACATAGTCAACCGCCACAAAAATGTAAGTGTTCCCACAAGAGCTAGCAAATGGGCCTATAAAATCAATGCCCCATACATCAAAGATTTCCACTTCAAGAATTGTATTGAGAGGCATCTCATCTTTCTTTGAAATTCCACCCACTCTTTGGCATTCATCGCATCTTTTTACAAAATCACCCGCATCTTTGAACAAGGTTGGACATAAAACCCACAACTAAGAACTTTAGAAGCTGTCCTTGCCTCGCCATGATGGCCACCATAGGGAGAGGAATGACAAGCCTCCAAGATACTCAATTGCTCTTCCTCCGGGACACACCTTCGGATCATACCATCCGTGCAAATATTGAACAAGTACGGCTCATCCCAATAGAAATCCAAACTATCCCGCTTGAGCTTCTTCATTTATTTAGAAGAGAGCTCACATGGGATTATACCAGTCACAAGAAAACTAGCAACATCGGCAAACCATGGTATATCAGTCATCGACACCGAAAGGAGTTGTTCGTCGGGAAATGAATCACTGATCTCTAGGCCATCACGAGGCCTCCCCTCCTCCTCCAAACGGGACAAGTGGTCTGCCATTTGGTTCTCACTACCCTTCCAGTCCACAATCTCCAAATTAAACTCTTGAAGTAACAAGACCCATCGTATCAGTCTAGATTTGGAATCCTTCTTTGCCATCAAGTACCGGAGTGCGACATGGTCGGTATGAATAATAACCTTAGCACCCATAAGATACAGCAGGAATTTTTCCATAGCAAACACAATAGCCAAAAGTTCCTTCTCGGTCACCGTGTAGTTAACTTGAGCATCATACATTGTCTTGCTCGCATAGTACACCAGATAAAACATTTTGTTCACTCGTTGATCCAAAACCACCCCAACCGCAACATCGCTCGCATCACACATGAGCTCAAAGGGCAAGCTTCAATTAGGCACGGTAATGATAGGAGTGGTGGTCAACTTATGCTTGAGAAGTTCAAAGGCTTGCATACACTTATCATGAAACACGAACTTAGCATCTTTTTCCAACAACTTGCACAAGGGGTTCACTACCTTCGAAAAGTCTTTGATAAATCTCCGGTAG